AGGGGTCTGTTTTTTGAATAAGTCTATTTTCAATTTGTTTCAATTTTTTGTGTCTTGTTTAATCCATTGTGTACAAGAGCACGTTCATGAATTCCGTATATATATCGAGGCACGGTGGAGATAGCGGCTTGGATTGAGGAATCAGGTTTCGTTCCACTCGGGTCCATTATATTCACTTGCGTGTTAATATCCTAAGCGTGCGGGCGGGCGGGGGCAGGCTTCCGGTCTTCGCCTTCGTTCGCCGTCGCCGGACGCGCGTCGTGCGCCTCGGCCGAGCTGCCGCCGTAAAACTAATGTCCGCCGCCGTGAGACGCGTAATATCCTTGGGAACGATATGAAACTTCTTCTTCTCCATCCTCCCAAGTTATGGGTAAATAGATCTGGGTTCTATAGCCTGGGATGGCAGCTGTTCTAGGAGAAGGACAACTCTAAATTTAAAACCTGCAGAGAGTCGCTTTTTGAGGGTGCGTGTGGCACACGATGCACAAGGTTTCTGTATTCGGTTCTTCCAAATATTGTGGTTTGGTTCTGAACAAAGCTTTCCCTACTCTAGTGAAATAATATCTGCGGTAGTCGGTTCCTAGGAACTGAGTTGCTTGACCCTCATAGGTCGAAAACCGACCAGAGAGTCGAATATATACATACATATATATATATATATATATATATATATATATATATATATATATATATATATATATACCTAAGTATATAATTGGTATATACGGAATGAATTCCAATAACCAACAATTACTATTCTTAAAAGAGTGCTCAATACCAAGTAGAGCAGATATAATTATTTTTTAAAAAAAAATTATAACATAAGTATGTTATAAAATCACTACAAAAAAATTTCAACATCATCACTTGATAAGACACAGAGTGTGTTGAAACAAAATGGCTATTTTTGTAGTGATTTTATAACATACTTATGTTATAATTTTTTTTATAAAAATAATTATATATATATATATATATATATATATATATATATATATTATATATATTATGTAATTTACCCACGCACGCATGGAAACTCCCAGCTATAAATAGGAGCAGTTACTGCCTTTTAGGAGAGGGGAGCTTCCAGCAGTCAGCTTTGACAATCGGATATAAGATTCTTGCTGTAACGCGCTAGTTTGTATGTTTGTATTACTGTTTCTGTTAATATATTTGTTTAACTCAATTCCTCTCTTCTGTCTTTATTTCTGGACCTAACACTGTCACAACACTCACTCTCTCTCTCTCTCTCTCACACACACACACACATATATATATATATATGTACGTGTGTGTGTGTGTGTGTGTGTGTGTGTTGGAGAGACATGTTTCACACAGTCAAATAAATATATATTCTAGTGAGTGACTGCATGTGTACATGCGGAATCATAATGAAACTCTTCTTAACTATTTTTGTATGTAATTTTGTCTTCACATCTCCAAAGATAATCAAATGTACCAGACACAAATTGCACAACAATAGAAAAGGAAAACAAAACTGCAGTAACTTATTGCCCAATTCAATGTCTTTCCCAACACACACACACACACACACACACACACACACACACACACATATATATATATATATATATATATATATATATATATATATATAGAATAAATTTTGAGGGGATTTAGAAAAATCATATATAGTAATTCATCGCTCGTGAGATGTGGCTCTTGGGGCACTGTTACGAGGTTATCCGTATACTTGGATAAGTATCGATGCGGAACTGAGTGAATAGCAGCGATATCGAGTCTAGTTCGTGTCTTCTTCGTCACCGAAGCCCGTGGTACAATTAATATGACGTTTGCGTTGTATCGAAACGGTCTGTATGCGCACTGATGATGTGTCCCGAATAGGAAGAAACGGTCGTCTAGTGCTTTCTGCATTCCGTTGAAGATTATTCTGGGCTCGATGAATTACTACATATATATATATATATATATATATATATATATATTATATATATATATATATACTAGACTCGTTTCGAAAAACCCTCGAATTTTTTGATTTGCTAATAATCAAATCAATCTCGAGGGAAAAAAGGTTTTAAAAAAAGAAAGAGCTACAAACATGAACTTCTGCCGACAAAAATCGCACAGATGCAGGTCTGAAGCCCAAAGAAAAACCCCGATACGAGTAAACAACTAACTAACAAAAGAGCTCAATACAACCGTAGAGCAGACCTAGATACACCTAGTGAGCCAGACAAACCTACCTAGGTTTCACCTAAACGGATCGTCAGGGAAAGTAAGGCTAACGAGGCAAAGAGAAACGCATATTTATAGGCGACAGCTAAAATCATACCACGTGACCAAAGAACCACAAACACACATATATATATACACGGTATTATCCAGGTCTTGTCTTATCCCTTTCTTTTATCATGCCATTATTCTAATCTTAATCCATTTCCGCTTCCAGTTAGCTAATCTCTCCGTTACAAGAGGTGCTAAAATTCAATATTTCCTTACGATTGAATTTTCACTCTGGTTACATCCTTTAGAGATAAAATTCTCTTCTTACGACTGTCAACTAATACGTATTGTTCTGGTGCGAACAATACCGTTCTTTTTGTCTTCAGTTCTCATAGTTTCTCAATAAAGCACTTGATTCCGACTACCATTTTAATAACTTGCATACACAAAACAATAACTACATATTCACTATTTATGAAATGTTTATTATGATTAGCTTTATTTCAGAACAAGGTCAAATAAAAAAGGGGTGATCACAATAGCAAGAAGATTGTTTTGCGTCAGTTTTTCTGCTGAGCAAAACCTTATTTTCAAATTCAGCGATCGAATTACTGACTTTTATTACAATCAGTACTAAATTATTTATAAACACCTAACTTCATACATAATATCACATATACACAACAGTCGCATATGAAATCGTGTAAGTAAATTACCTCAGCGCGCTAGCAAGCAAACACACAGATGCATATATACTATATATTTGGGCAGTAGTCCTTCTTTTATACATGTTTCAATGAATGTGACGGTGTGAATGTGAAAAATTGACATGATTTATTCAGTTTTTTGGTGTTAGCGATTGGGAATATCAGGTGTTGTCAGTTTAGATGTATAGAGAGTGTAATGACGGCTTGGAATTGAAACTCAAAAAGCCATTCCAATTCTAGTCGGGATCGTTATATACATACGTACAGATACCCTTTTGAAAGGCATTCGCCTCTTTCTCCACCAACCTATGGGTTAATTGTTAGGACTTTTATCAGTGTGTTCGCATTATCGCCAACGTATGTTTACAATCTAGAAAAAATATTTTCTGGTTTTAAATAGCCTGCAAAAGGTAGATAAACCCTCAAAAACACTGAAAAACGTGTAGAAACTGTTCATATTGATTATTGTCCCCAAAATATTCAGTTTATTCTCAAGACATTTTCAATAGATGTGGGGTTAATTTTTGCTGTCTGTGTAAGGAACTGAATTCGAAAGTTTTACTAAGTACGTTTAAAAAAACGATACAAAACAGGGATTTATATGCAGTAAATTTAATATATATATATAATCCTCGGAAGGTTCCAACGAGAGATGTTCATTTTTTTAAGGGGTAACTGAGCCTTGATTAGCTATGAGGCTTTGGTTTGTTTTGCGGATAGTCACGCTTGTCCTGAAGGTGATTTCATAGGATGTTGGAAATGTAGTGTTCATCTGAGCAGAGGCACATTTTCTTTGTTAAAATTTTCGATTGTCCAGGTCGGTAGATTGCAATTTGGCCGTTAAAAAACTGACAAAAAACAAAACAAAAAAAACAAAAAAAAAACAAAAAAAACGTATATATCTACCCAAGAAAATAGTAATCGCTCTTTATATTCTCCCTCCAGCTATGGGTAAATAGCAGGACAGACTGGGTTCTATAGCCTTGAATGGCAACTGGTCTAGAAGAAGGACATCCCTCAATTCAAAATCTGCGCAGTTTGGGGACCCTGTGGCATTCGGCCCTTCAAAAAGTGTGGATGGTCCTGCACGAAGCCTTCACCACTATAGTCAAATCTCATGTGCAGTTGTCAGGCTGTCGGTTTCTTAAGAACTGATCTGCTTGACCCACATACGTCAAATTCGACAGGAGAGTATATATATATATATATATATATATATATATATATATATATCAGTCAGTCAGTCAGTCATGTGCCATGCGTGATACATGCTGAAGCGATCATGTATCTTTCGATACATGAATAACGAGGCAAATTTTTCCCGCAGTATGTTGGCATTTCTTTCTGCGGTGGAGCATCAGCCGTCCAAGGCTATATATAAAACCCAGTCTCTCCTGCTATTTACTCGTAGCTGGGGTTGAAGACAAGGATTCATACTTTTCCCAACAATGTGATGGATTCGACTGGAATTCGAACTCGGCTCTCCGATTCCTCAACCGGAGCCACTATCCATTACTCCACCGTGCCTCCTCAAACAGGTTTCATTAAAGACTACAGACGACGTATTGTAATTAAGCTTTTTTTTTCTCAGTGTTTTTGTGTTCGCATAAGTGTTTACTTTTCTGGGCTGAAAATGTGTAAAAATTGTCCGAATGTTTCTCAGTCTTTTCTCCCTCGTGGCCCACTTTTTTTGTCAAAAATCTGAGGCCCACGTAAGCTCAAATATAAATTACATATAACAGGAAATACATTAGGCACGTCAGCGTAAATGACGGTTCCGTATAGGATACAGATTCGAATCCTGTCAAAGGACGAATATCTTCTATGAAAATTTCTCGGAGATTCAGGCCGGTAAATGTTATTTAATACTGTTTATTATGAACAGAGCATTTACTTAAATACCGTTATCTATAAAAAAAAAGAACGTTAAACATAAAAATGTCTTTAATAAATAAATTGTCGGACTTTGTCCATTTCTTAATATATAAGGTAAATATGTTGTAGAAAATATAAATGCTGACTAGTGACGAAACTGCTCCTGGTGTCAAGCCTATCAAATTTGTCAAGTTGAACATACAACAGCCCTATGGCTATATCACGTTGAAGGACCGGTTCCCGTACGATCACCGTAGTTAAGCAGCGTCGAGTCTGGACAATACCTAGATGGGGGACCGCTTGGGAATACCAGGCGCTTTAAGCTTGGATGTGCGGGTGGAGTAATGGATAACAGTCATATGTCCGGTTCCCGTACGATCACCGTAGTTAAGCCACGTCGAGTCTGGTCAGTACTTAGATGGGTGACCGTTTCGGTAATACCAGGTGCTGAAATCTTGGATGCGCGTGTGGAGTAATGGATATCACACTGACAGTCCGGTTCCCGTACGATTACCGTAGTTAAGCCACGTCGAGTCTGGTCTGTATCTAGATGGGTGACCGTTTGGGAATACTAAGTGCTGTAAGCTTACATGTGCGGAGAATTTAATGGATAATGATTTGGAAATGTTAATCGGATAGGTGAGTTTCAATTACAGTTGGTTCCGTTATTTTCACATACGCGCACATACCCATGGGTAAGGTATGAATCAACCTTTTCTTCATTCCGTGAGTTAATTAGTACAACTTGTATCATTAAATAATTATCTTAAAGAAAAAAAAAATTCTTAGATTCTTAAAATATTTTCTGGCTTTAAATAATTCTGAGAAGCAGTAGAAAACTAATTAAAGGAACTTCCAAGACTTGGTTCAGTTTTTTTCAATCTGCATCACCAAGATTATTAGAAAGGTTTCTCAGTCCCTCGTATGGAGCTAAGGACCCACGTTGAGAATCAACGTTTTAGAGATAGAAGAGAATATATGGTTCTTCTATAGTAGCCACTGGGGGGTTCGCATTGGCTGTATAGATGTTTTGGATGAAATAATGTCCATTATAATACTATAATCAGCGTGATGTAAGAAAATATAAGGGATTGAGAAGACATAAGAAACAAGCCTTCCTCCGCGTTACAATGATTTTAGGAACACATTTTTATTTATATAGTTTCCGAACTCGTCATTTTTCTTCTTTGTTAAGTACCTACGGTCAAATCACGTGGTTCAAGTTCGATCACCGGAAGTTAATCAGTGTCGAGCCCATTCAGTATTTAGAATGGGGACCGCTTGGTGAAAAAACGGGCACTTTAAGCTTTAAATAACCCAGAAAGGGTTGATAATCGGTAAATCATAAATCAATGACAATTGTCTATCAAATGAAGAATCTGCCGATATGGACGCCAAGAGAAACGAATTTTAACATGAAATTGAGAAAGAAGAAACAGCGACCTCGCCCCTGTACAGGGAAGGGTTAATTTGATGGTTGATATGTAAGCAAGGTAACTTTTAATATAAATAAACATCACCCCAAACACCCACACAAAGACAGAAATATCACACACACACACACACACACACACACACACACACTATAACTATATATATATATATATATATATATATATATATATATATATATATATATATATATATATATATATATATTTAATGTCTTTAATTTAATTACAAAATTAAATTCAGGGCATTTAGCTTCCATTTTGAAACATGGTTAGAACTGTGTAGCGAAAAACATATTTTAAATCAATTAATTTATAATATATATATATATATGTTTGTATGTATCTATGTATATATATGTATGTATTGTGTTTATTCAGTGATGGAAGTGAGATTATTGCAATATTTCCTCTTCCTTTTTTTGATCAATATGTAAAGCGAGATTAATTCTTCAGAGCCTTTTTAACGTCACCGGAGAGAAAAAAAAATAAAAAAAAATTTCAAAACGAAAAACAAAACAAAAAACAAAACGAAAAAAAGAAGAAAAAAAGGAAAAAAACAAAAACAAAAAAGAAACAAAACGAAAATAAAGAAGAAATATACAAATGAATGAATCAATAAATACAAATCTAAGATTGAATGTAACTAAAAAAAAAAGAGAAAAAGGAAAAAAACTCTTTTTTATATTCAGCGTTCTCTCTCTCTCTCTTATGCTTTTCTTTATCTTTATTTCTTTCAGTTGTTCTTTCTTTCTTTTTCTATCTTTTTACAAAAAATTCAATTTCTGTTTTCGCTATTTTCGTTCATAGAAATTGTTTTTTCCAATTTTTTCTTTCTTTGATTTTAATATCAACATTAATTCTTTCTTTCTTTCTTTCTTTCTTCCTTTCTTTCTTTCTCATTTAAATCTGGTGTCGTAACTACTTTTTAGCTCTTTCTGTGAATTTGAACTTCCAACTTTTTCTTTCTTTCTATCTTTCTTTCTTTCTTTCTTTGATTTTGATCTTACTTACTTTGATTTTGGTCCCCCCCATATTTTCTTTCTTTCTTTCTTTCTTTCTTTCTTTCTTTCTTTCTTTCTTTCTTTCTTTGATTTTGATCTTACTTTCTTTGATTTTGGTACCCATATATTTTCTTTCTTTCTATCTTTCTTTCTTTCTTTCTTTGATTTTGATCTTACTTACTTTGATTTTGGTCTCCCCCTATATTTTCTTTCTTTCTTTCTTTCTTTCTTTCTTTCTTTCTTTCTTTGATTTTGATCTTACTTTCTTTGATTTTGGTACCCATATATTTTCTTTCTTTCTTTCTTTCTTTCTTTCTTTGATTTTGATCTTACTTTCTTTGATTTTGGTACCCCTATATTTTCTTTCTTTCTATCTTTCTTTCTTTCTTTGATTTTGATCCTACTTTCTTTGATTTTGGCCCCCCTATATTTTTTTTTCTTTTTTAAATTTATTTTTTCCATTAGTGTCTGTCTTTTATGGATCTTACTACGAAAATCTTTATATTTATATTTTTCAGTCGTCATCCATCTTTTCTTTCATTCTTTCTGTTATAAATATTGTATGTTTATATTTCAACATCTTTCTTTCTTATTCAAATTCGGGTTTTTACTTTCTCTTTCTTTCTTTCTTTTTTTGAATTTGTTCTTCCTACTTTGATTTTAATCTCTTTATTTTTCTTTTTTCCTTTCTTTCGTTTGTTTTTTCCCATCACATTTTTTCTTTTCTTTAAAATACTGTCTTTGAATAATTCAATTTCTATTTTCCTTCTTTCTTTCTTTCTTTCTTTCTTTCTTTCTTTCTTTCTTTCTTTCTTTCTTTTATGCTTATTTCTTTTTTCAATTTTCTCGTATCTTTTATCTCTTTGTATACATATTGTATACATACATTTTCATGTTTTCTTATTCCATTTATTCGATATCACTTTTCTCCCATCTTTGGGGTCAAAGATATTTTTAAATTCTTTATTTCCTGTTTCGCTGTCATATTCGTTTTTTTTTTATCAAGTTTAATTTATTTACTAATGACACGTGCATCACCCAAAACCACAAACATACACACGCTAACGCATACGCGCATATGTACATATACACACAAACACATAGGGATGCGTACATCATGAGCATGCGCATCACCCATAATTCCTAGCATCATTTGCATATACTCCATATACGTATATATACATATATCCACCGCCCCCTCCATCCAAAAAGGTGTACGTAAAAGTACTGGGACGTACGTAAACATCATTGATATAAAAAATATCGCACAGCAAATAAAAAATTCTGACAAGGGTGTGAACATCTCTCAATATACAAGCAAAAGAAAGAAAGAAAAGGAATTTGTGACGCCATTAAATCTGACGTATATGGTTATTCGAGATTATAATCCTTCTCTTCAAGACGTTTTTCTATGTCCCCAAGCCAGTTTATTTCGACGTTCCTTTTCATTTTCCATGCTTTTATCCACTACAGTTTTATACCAGGTTTTGTATAACTCCTATACTACATCGATGCTCGTTTTAAATATATTTCCTCAGAATTTTTGGGGGTTTTCTTGGACCTTTTTGATACTCAATGTACTGCTTAAATCCCATTCTCATAGACCCTGGGACCTTTATTGTCAAAACATATATATATATATATATATATATATATATATATATATATATATATATATATATATATATTTTTATTTACAAAGATTTAAAATTTACAATTTAAATAGCTAGATGTTGCCAAGTTCTATGTCAACATTTTCTTCTCTCACACTTTTCCCTTATAGAATTCTCTTCCAGATACTTCCTTCCCAGTTAACGTTGATCTTCAAAAAAGTAAGTGCAATGTCAATCTTTATCTCCTGTCTTTTTAATTCCTGTTCTTTGATTGTCTTCTCTCCTTAATAGGTGTTTTCTTTTTCACATATTCTCAGTATACCCTTGCGTCTTAGTGGCTTTATTGCCTTGCAATAGTGTGTAATGTTTTAAAAAAAGTTTGAATAAACTTGTGACTAAAGAAATTGAAAACGATGATTGAGAACATGTGGGAAAAAAAGATAAATGATTTCAAAAACAACAACAACGAAATGTCGTTTGTATCGATTTCAACTGATTTTTTTTTCTTAAAAATCTATATTCCCGCATTTACCTACCGTCATTGTAGTCAAATAAGTATTTTTGTTTTTGATGCATGCGTCGGATGCACGCCAAACACATTTTTCATGCTTATATATCTACACAGACGGATCAATATCAATTATTTAAAGTTTCATGTATTCAAATATCAGGGTACTCAGCGATTGACATTCTGCGCGCACACGCACGCGCATGCGCACACTTATTCTTTCAATTTTTCTTTCTCGCTTCCTTTCTCTCATATATCCGCTCTGGTATAAATTTTGTGCATATCATTAACTCCGTTTTGGATAAGAATAATGTAGAAAAAAACCCCAAAAAACTACAAAACACAAAACAAAAAAAAACGAAAAAAAACAAAAAAAAAAACAAAACAAAACAACTCAGCATCCTCTACCGTGTATTCCATAAAATAAGCCTGAAGAAAAACCATTCTGAAAAAAACAAAAAAACTATGATGTCGAACTGGAATGAAAGCAGCGATGGCACCTACCGCGAATCTATCAAAGAAATTCTGAATGTGGATTTAGTAAATAGTAAAATATATCGGTGTATGGATCGATTATAACAAGTATGGCATTGAAGATAAGGAAACTGAACATAGAATAGGCTGTAGTTTTGCCCAACACCACCACTTGCCACAAAACCAAAACATTAACCTAAAATCTCAGAACATGTTCTTAAATAGCATCAACAAATCCAGTCTTCCATATGGGTGTCATCCATGACTCTAAACTCGTTCGGAAATAACAAAAATCTCAGATGTATAGAACAAAATATCAGATCAATGGTGAAAAAGCAGGAGGCGAAAGAAAGCATTAGCTCTCAGAGAGAACTAACCTTCTTCAAAACTTGTGGAATGTCGTTACAGAATAATCGCAAATAAACAACTGTACTAAATTATAAAAAGCATATCACTTGCAGAATGATGAAACTCGAAAAGAAAATAATGGTATAATCAAGATGTTAACATACCAAAAGATTAGGAAGAAAGTCCA